ATCAACTAAAGCAAGTTCCAAAACAAACCGCTCATAATCATTTTGTCTTTCTCTGTTTGTCAACATTTTCTGATAACATACGTTTGTAAAAGAAACACATTCCCCAAGCTTAGTATTTTTATGAAGTTTGTAGATTTTTAATAATTCTCATCAATTTGAACCTATGAATTGGATTTGGAAAACTGGATTAAGTTCCCCCACTAAGGTGGCTCTGAGTTGCTCCACGGTTACTACAAAGCAGGTCAGAAAAAGGTACATAGAATAAAATGATTCCTTTTGCAAAAATATAAAACTTTCATAAAAAACCTCTCTCTAGCTCATCAGTATGGGATTTGTCACTAATCATTTTAAACTATGCCCTTTTATGCTTCTTCTTTCTCTCTTAGCTTTCTGAGCAGTTCTTTGATGTGACAAAGACAGTTTCAGACAAGAGTTGAGTTCATGTGGAAGAAAAAAAAAGGTTTAAGTCTGGAGGCAAAATGCAGTGTATTTAAAATTTATATACTCTATAATGCCTTTGTTCTGAACTTGAAGATCCTGCAAAACTTGGAAGCTTCTTTGCTTCCCTCCTCTAAGCTCATTTGTTCTTCCCTGGCTTATTATCATGCAGCTGTGGCTTTAACTGGTGGCTCCATCGTTTAACGGCATGCGGAGTCATGGCTGACCCTTTCTGATCAATTGCCAATCCATACAGGTTTGACTGATAAAAGAGCCAATTAGATTTAAGCAAATTAAGGGACATCACCAATGTCAACCACTTATTAAACTGAATGCTGAATTCCATGCATACAAAACACTAATGCACCGAGCCCCATTAAGAGCTGAAACCCTAACCCCATTAGTAACTCTAGGCCTTGAGGGCGGAGAGGCCACAGGGAAGTTTCATATTTATGGATTAACATTTGGATTCCATTTTTATTTTTTTCATTCTTTGCCTAGAACTTTTGAACCTGCACTATAATGCTATTCAAGAGCTCTGATTAAGCATATTCCTCATTTCTAGGAGTATCTTAGTGCTAAACCTGAACAGTAGGTTATAACAAACAACCTAAAAGTGTGGTTGCTGCAGAAATACAAAAACCTGAATACACAGCTGTAGGGAAGGATATGCTACATAATTGGAAGGAAAGCAAATTTGCTGGTTGACCAAATATTCTTTCAAAATAATTTTTAATGTAAAATATGTGTTCTATTTGAGATTTGCCACTATATGTATACTGAAATATTGATTTCATGATTTCACTGGTCTTAATTCCCATTTCCAAAATAACTTGTGCTTATCATACTGTTTAATCATGTTTCTCTTCTTTTTTTTTTGTGGGAGGGTCAAAATTACTTTAATTTTTAAATAAATTAGTTTTATTAAACAATAACAACCATGAGACAGGAATATTTGATAGAATCAACTGGGCTTTGAAATTAGATATTTTGGAGTTTACTTTTTTGACATCCTGGTTTTAAGGTATAACCAGTATTCAAAAAATGGCACATTAATCATATTTCTGTCCTCACCGGAAACAGACAAAAAGTTAATATCACATAAAATGTTTCATAACCATCAACTGAGAACTGTTTTGGACCACGTCCCTTTGTGTCTCCTTTTCTAAATGCCTCTGTAAACCGAGGTCTGTTCTTCCTATGCCTGCGTCAGGGAAATGACCACTGTAGGGAAGGACCCTGAGTGAGGAGTTGGTGCCATCTGTACGGATTTCTTACTGCCCATTCCCCTGCCCTCCTTACAGTCTGGCCGTCCAACAGCCAGTGGCTGTAGCATCCCTACACTGAGCAGGTCACGTTTTCCACAGGTTGATAAATATGGGGTTGCTCGGGGAGGAGATGAGGCCTAGAGAGACCTGAGCAATGACAATTGCAGAATCTAAGACTTGTAATTCAGCTGTCTTGGCTGATGGATTCATTCATTCACTCACCAATTGTTCATCTTACACCCACCAACTGTCAGGGTCAGTCTAGGTACTGAAGATAAAAATGGGAACAAGAAATAGTCCCTGCTGGGGAGGGTTGGGTAACCTACAATTGTTTCAGTTGGATCGGACAGGTACTCTCAGTACAATGGGAACCCACCCAGCGACACAGGTCAGATCTCAGCCTCGCCTGTGGAAAGATGATTTTTTTGACGGACAGGTGGCTAAACTGAAGCCTAAAAAATGAGGAGGATTTGGTCAGAACAAGGGCCTAAAGGAAACTTTAAGTCTGATAGCAAACCTTTGATCAAGAAAAAAAACAAAACAGCATTTTTAACCGAAATCTTCTATTAGTATGCTTTAAAGCACACAGAGAAAAAAACAAAGGGCATTATCATGACAAATTTTACATAATCAAGCACAAAAAGATAGTAGGAATTCAACATCACCATTAAAAAAAAAGAGGTCTAATACTGAAATCATGAAAACGGCAATAACGGTAACAGTCTGAGTATAATGAAAAGTAAATAGCACATAGAACCTCCTCTGTCCATAAGTTGGTTCGCTTCTCTACATTTCGGTTCATTTCTTATTCATTTCAGTATGAAATGCAGTTCACTGGACACAGGCATGGAAGGTTTCTTTAATAACTCTCGCTACTAATTTAATTCTACTTAAACACACATATTCTCGTGAATGCCACATGCTTTCCAGCATGATTTTATGTGTAAATCAGGATAATATGTTTTCAGATCATTAGGTAAAAGGAAGCATGAACTAAAACCTATTTAATCAATGAGGTATCACCTTTCAACTGCCACAAGGTCATAAAAAAGATAATTTCAAAGCTATAAGTTTCCTAATTGTAATCAACAACAATCTAATAATGGGGAAAAAAAGTACATCTTAATGGCTGCAATAAACTTGGGCAGATCACTGACTGCCTTTGAAGATATCTTGCTCCCGCATTTGGTGAAGGGCCATCTCTCAGAGTCTGGGTTTCTGAGCTCACAGCACGAATGGCCGCACGGTGCCCAGAGAGCAGGCCCTGCTGGGCACCGGGATGATGAGGAGGACAGGCGTCCACAGGGGGCAGCGGAGCTAAGTCTCAGCACGTTGCTTCTGCCCCACAATAAACAATACTTTAGTTTCCTCCTGCTTGCATAATATTAGCCCTTCTACTAAGCCAGACAGACATAGCCATGCGGTGTGCATTGAGTTAGCAACAAAGAGGAGCTTGCTAAGTTTACTGAATCCTGTGTGTGTATATATGTGCGTGCGTGTACACACACGCGCATAAATACTACAAAATATTAGACCATATGCTCTCAAACACAAACAATTAAATTACTCCCAGTTTACGAATGCGGTAGAAATTACAAACTATCTAAATTCATGGAAATGCTATGAAAATGATCTATAATATTAAATATTCCATATCCTGTTAAGAAGCTATTACTATGTAGCTGAAAAAAACCCTCTGTTAAATCGCTGATGACTCTTCAATACTTAAGTGTGAATAGAGGATATTATATACGAAAGCATGGAATCATCACAATTTTCTGCTCTTTCCAGCACATTGGGTTACAGTCAGAAAAGGAAGATCTGACAGGTGAGCTTTCTTCTTTTGGTCTCAATTCTTAAATAAACACCTATGGAACTTCCGTTCCCATTTTTATGACAGGCTCATGAAACATGATACTATTTCAGTTGATTGTCCCCCAAAGTCTGTTTCAAGTATTCTGTTCTTAAACAACGTGGCTGTTGCCAGTTAGAGTTGCGGAGTATTTCCGTAAACATCCATTCATCAATTCTATAATGCCATCAAGGATAGATAACAGTGAGCTGTTTTTACGGCACACAGGCCATGAATCTCTCTTGGCAAGAGGGGTTCTGCACGAACTGCAGGCAAACCCTTCTTTTCCTCTAGTCCTGAGGCCTATCTGGACTCATTGTGACTGGAGACGGATCTTTCCAGCCTGGCAGATTCCTGTTAACAAGGTATTGGCATTCTCCCTTCATCCAGAACACATCTGCTCCCGCAGCTGGGCTACCGGGCAGACACTGGGTGTCCTGAGGTACTTTCCTGTGGTATTTTTGGGAAACATACTTTCCTGAACACATAGTTCAGAACACGCTCTTACTCTCCTGAAGCATGTTTTCTATTCAAGGGCTAGACCTGTTGATGTCAGAAGGGTTTTTCTTCTTAGTAGTCAGTCCCACAAATAGTTAAAACTGGGTGGCACTGAAGCAGATCAGAATAATAATTCTGGATAAGCTAGGTCCTTTATATAGAAATTGTTAAAATTAAAATATTCAGATTAGATCACATTTCACATATGAACATGACAACACTGAATTCTAACCACCAAGATGTGGAATTTAAAGGTGTTTTTCCAGTGGTGTGAGTAGAGTTTTCCTATTGTATTACCTATACGCTATCCATTTTTGCCAAAAGTTTAGATATAGCCCTGGCTGGTGTAGCTCAATGGACTGAGCACCAGCCTGTGAACCAAAGGGTCTCTGGTTCGATTCCCAGTCAGGGCACATGCCTGGGTTGCAGGCCAGGTCCCCAGGAGTGGGTATGTGAGAGGCAACCACACACTGATGTTTCTCTCCCTCTCTTTCTTTCCCTCTCCCTTCCCCTCTCTCTAAAAACAAATAAATAAAATCTAAAAAAAGAAAAGTTTAGATATACATCTAAATCACATCTTCAACAAACCAGGGACAAAAAACACTTGTACTAGAAAATTAAAGTTCAAATTGAAAATACAAGCTTTGAATCTAAATCAAGCCTCCAACAAAACAGCATTTCACAATCTTTTTAATATGTATAAAGTGAGAAATATGTGTGTGTTTACACACACACACACACACACACACACACACACACGGTGTGAGGTGGAAGTCTCAACAAAACAATAAAATAATGTCAATAACAGGGTCTCCATAAAACAACCACCCAATCAACCAGTCATACCAGTGAGCCACTAAGTTCTAACAAAAGTGATTCGAACAATGACAAGGTGTTCAGTAGAGAATGTAACTGTAGACAGCCAACGTCGTTCTCAGACTTACCCCCTGGCGGCATGATGAGCGTGGCAGGATCACTCCGCAAGCTGCCCTGGGTGCCGGAAGCATTCACTTGTACGGTGTAGTTGCTAAAAGGGATCAGCCCGTCGACAGGCACCCAGAGGTCAGCCTCTTCACCACTGTGCACCACCTTTGTGCCGTTCAGGAGAGTCCAGTTATCTGCTGAGTAAAAAAGAAGTATTTAATTCTGTCTGTATTTAAGGCTTCTCTTCTGCTATTATGTAAACCTTTGGTTGGGTTCCTAAATATCCAGTAGTAAAGAGAATTAAACTGACATCACCATAAAAGGCATTGCGCTCACTTGCTTTTACTTCACTATGCTGCAAACAAAATAATATTTGATAACACACGACGATTTCTAATTCATTCATCACAGGGATCGAAATTACTGGACAGATATCCTGAGACAACATAAAGCCGCATCACATATATAATGCAGATAAGTAAAAATTCTGCATGGATGTATAAATGTATCCCTTGAAGCATTATTTACAATTTGTTTCGGGGATTCTCAAATACTGGAGTTTTCTGTGACGCATGGACCGCGAGGAAATCCCACTGTTTTCCCCCAAATAGAACAGTTCTGGACGTACATGTAAATAGTACAGTCAAATATCTGCGTCAGAAGTCTGACTTATCATCAGTTGGGGTAATTTCTGCTCATTTGATCAAGAGATGGATTGACTGCTTTCTACCTACTGCCTGTTTACATCAGAGTTGGTGAGAAGATCCCGGAGAGCCACTGGGGATGGAAGCACATTGTGTCCACTCAGATCTGGCGGGGTCGGTTTTCAGCTCTCTGGGAAAATGCAGAGGCTGCCTGGCTGTAGAACAGGGTCCCTTTGCACATGTCCCCACCGCCCTCCCCGCCCCACCCCCTTCATCCTGCGGAGGCTTCAGCCAGCCCATTCTTGAATCTCAGTGTGTCTGGGGCATAGGAACATTCTGCTGTCTGATTACAGAGATTTTTATCTCCTCTTCTACAAAGCCAGGTTACATCTAACATTAAGGAGAAAGGGGAATTAGACTTAAATTAGAAAAGGGTCCAATCCAAAAATTGTGTTGTAACTTTTATTTCACTTTCAATGTTAGGTGCTTTACTGAAAAATTTACATTTGACAAATTTTTCAAAATAATGCTTAACCTTAGTACAGTTAGTTATATTTACTCTTAAAACACCAAAAAAAAAGAACCATTAAAAATAATAATATTTACTTCCAATAGCCTTCCTTTGCCAAAGCACTTACTATATTTACCTTTAATCTTCTCCAAAGGGAATAAGTGGTACTTGTGGGCTAAAACACAGAAATAATCACTTCTCTTCATTTTTAGCGAAACAAGATGAAGCTATATTCAGAGATTAGGAATGTTTTTAAGTTCCTAACCTGGAAACAGACAATTCACAGCCATATATGCATAACATGCATTAGCGGGAAGTCCTGAAACCTGCAAAGCAACCTTTGAAAACTCCGCGACTCACTGAAAAGACACTCCCAACTTGCGCCATATTAAGTAGCTTTCATAGGTTCTTGACAACTAGTCATCTTCACTCAACCAAAGATTCTCTCCAACTGCATGCTGGGAGTAGCCTTCACTAGGCGCTTGTAACAATGTGCTCAAAAATGCATGAAACGTATTCAGGAGACCTGGTTTAGACGAAATGTGCATCACTTCTAACCATTGTCTAAGAAAATTACATCTGTCACATCTGAAGCCTCCTTACCTTCCCATAATGTATAGCTTCATGGAAGCCTTTTTCCGCTACAGCTGACGCCACTACTGCCCTGGTCACGTGCCCGGCTGCAGAATTTCTAAAAGGACACCTCATCCTATCCAGGCAGGTGCCCCACGGCCTCTGAAGCAGTATAACTGTGGCCATCTTTCAAAAGATGGCAAATCACAAAACAATAATGAAAATTCTAAAATTAAGCCAAGAGAATGCAATTTTACAAAATTTTTACTAGGTGCAAATGTAAGATTGACGAGTTAACATCTATACTTATAATATTGGCGAGCTTCTCTTCTCCCCTTGCATTTGGTTGGTTTTTGAAGCAAATTTCTAGCTGTAAAACAAACACTGTTGCCAGCTTTGAAAATGGCATGGCAGGGAGAAATATATTAAATACCACTTTATTCTAAGTTTCCCAGATAACATTAATACATGGCAATTATACAATTAGTTGTAACATTGCATTCTAATTATAGAACAATGATTACTCGGTAATTATAAGAAGTATATAATTACTCAATAATTATGAGAAGTATGTAATTACATAAACCATTTTGTTCAGCTCAAAAAAAAAAAAAGAACTTGTACATCTCCAAGAAGCACGCAGCTGTGATACGCAGCTCAATTCACAGACCTAGAGCAACTGACAGGGCTCCAACCCTCAATGAAATGCAAAATCTCCAGCTCCGAAACCAAAACAGGTCCATGGATTTGGGCTTTCCCTCCATTTCATTCTCCCTGCTCTCACACACTCCCTTTGAACTTGACCTTGCACTTTAAATTTGGGCTCCTAGATCATTGGAAACAGTTCTTAAAATGGATGTCCTGTGATTCCTCCCCTCCTGCAAGGGCATGCTTTTTCACTCTTCTCTGCATATGCTTTGTTGCCAGCGGTCTGGAAAATGCAGTCTGGGCGGTTCAGCCTCAAGGATCAAGGTGGAAAATGCTGACGCGATAAGCATTTCCTATCACAGGTTAGCATTCCTGTGGGGTTGGCCTCCGAGCTGCCCCTGTCTGTGAGTGGAAGTGCATGGTGCAGGGTTGCTGAGGTTTCCGTGTTTGTGACCACGGCTCCACATCACCTCACCCCCAGGACTCTACCTAGCGTCTGAGGAGTCCCTCTCTTCTACCCTCTCTGGCTGTGCCCTGCACCCCTGGGCTCTCACTGAGGATTGCACTGGTTCTTTGCGGAATGTTCCCATGTTCACCGACATCAAAATCACATGGGGATTCTTAATGAACATTTACCTCCCCAAGTTCCATTCCAGGTCTACTGAATGAGACTACCCAAGCATAGGAACCAGAACTCAATTCTCAATTGGTGATTCTCTCCCTGAAGAAAGAACAACTGATTTGGTGTTATTGCGCCCCTGTTAAAGCTAGTCTTTTTTTCTAAATTTTATGTTTCAATTACAGTTGACATTCATCTGTATTCTGGGTTAGTGTCAAGTGTACCGCATAGTGGGCAGACAACAATAATCTTTGCAGAGCTGTGCCCCTCCAATGTTTTAGGTATCCACCTGGCACTGTACCTTGTTATTCCAATTTTGTTGACTATATTCCCTATGCTTTGCTTTACAACCCCATGACTATTTTGTAATCTAGTTCAAATCCCTTCAATTTTTTCACCCAGCCTCCCAACCCCCTCCCTCTGCATCCACCAGTCAGTTCTTTGCATGTATGAGTCTGTTTCTATTTTGTTTCTTCCAAGCTGGTCTCAGAGTTATAACCAAAATTTATTTATTTTGCTTCCCAAATCAATGAGGTTAAGTTTGGCATCTTATTCATTGATACCTTTAGATTCTAGCTTTGGGTTTTAAAATGTTTGTTTCTATCAGTGGAATAATGCTTCTTCAGAGAGTATAGAAAGCTATCTCTTAAACCAAGTCTATCTTTATGGATTACAAAATCTAGTACAGTTGTTTGATAAGAAACTTTTAATACACATAAAAATAATTTAAAAAATGAGTACAGATTACTGTATACCTGAGAACAATAATGTCAGGATTTCTGATTTAAGTATTTCTCCTCCCTCCCTGATGGAAGATACAGGGCAAAGAAAGATTCTTTGAATATAGGTCAACAATATGCATTACATGAAGAAAACACATTTCATAGAGGTCACATACATTTTAAATAAATTCCTAGATACTATTTCACAGTAACAGAATGTGGAGACTCCACACTCTAAAAAAAAATTACAAAAGGTTAACTCATGCATTTCTACTTTTCTATCTTATATCGAATAAAAAAGGTTAAATAAAGAAGAAACAGCCAAAGTACATCTCCTGTCCTACAGCTTTTACTTGCAAAAAAACTTTTTCTTCTTCAAATAGGAACTCATACTGAAACGTCAACCACACCCATGTCCATTTGATGGCTAAAACCTTATTGTTAACATTCTTATTGGTTGAACAACAGGATGTTTTCTTTATGATGATCTTTAAGCAAAAACCTGCATTAAACAGACAGCTTCCCGTGTACGATTCAGGAATGTGTGTACCACTGCTGTCCTGGGAATTTCTTCCTGTTGGGTTTTCTGGATTGAAATAAGATGAATGGGTACGCTTTCTCAGTCCTGTTATAATCATTGTCACAAGAACGTTAATGCACCATATATTCCATAATTTTTTCCCTCTGTGCTGTCCTGTTCTGACCTTTTCAATATTCTGTAATTTGACTGGCTGGCTGTTTCCGTTCTCTCCTTTTTACAGCCTTATTAACTTGTGGGAAAGAGGTGAAATGCACAACCAATCCGAATACGTAATATTGCAAAGGTCAGTGTAGACCTGTAGAGTATCAGCACACACGGAAGACTGTGCGCCAGGCATTAACATCCTGATATCTTATTCATGTGACAAAGATGGTAACAAGAACAGAAAATGGCACAACATGAATCCATTCTCGTGACAAAGATGATAATGAGAAATGACAGCGAACAAACCAAACTGATTCTTGTTACCGTGTGAAGATTTTACATGTCAGACCTGGTCCTGCTTTAAGTTAGCCTCTCCCTGAATCCAATTACACCTTAAGGTAGAAAATGCATTGGCTAATTTTCCCACTCCTGACTGTAAAAAGGAAAAGCTAGGTTTTTCCTGTATTGCGGCCTCAATTTGAGTGTTGTTTAGCTCCATCCCGCTATTGCAAAATTCTGCCCATACTAAAATCAAAAGACATCAAATGGTGAAAAAGGCCTTTAATGTGAGCTAAGAATTCTAGTTCACTTTAGATAGCACATATTAATATTTAAGCTACCTTTATTTATTCTTTCTAAGGATATCATTTCAAATTATATTACCTGAAGGCAAGTGTGTCCTCCAAACTCCATTGTTCTAATAGATCTCACTTTGGTAGAAATATGAAAGGTGCCAGGTATTTGTTTAAGTTATTACATGGTTAAAAGAACCTATTCCTGGCCTTAAATTTTTGCTAACATAGAAAATATGTGTAATATATACCTATGTAGCTATTTCTCCACAGAACATTTTGACGGAAAAAAAAGGTAACCCCTGAACCACTTAGGGCTCTGAGAAAAACAGTGCTCTATTAATGCATCATATTTCTTACCATTACTGCAATTACTCTAATGCAATTTTTAATTAGTTGTCATCTAGTAAAAGCTGTACTGTTTTGATTCCTCTTTCAAGCAGTCATTTGGCTGGAATGACAACTGTAGTTCAGGAGATAAATACAGCAAATATTTCATCAACTAGGGAAGGTATAGTATTATGCCTTTACCTCTGTAAAGGGCGAGAAGAAGTAAGTCAGAAGAGGATGAGAACATTCAGTTTCACTGATCCATGAGATATAAAAGAAAAAGCAACAAATGAACACCAACAAAACAAATGAAACCCATAGATACAGATAGTGGAATGTTAGGGGAGGACAAAGAGGATACAGGGTTCAAATACACAGTAATGGCAGGGGACTAAACTTCGGGTGAGAGCACACAATAGAGTGTATAGATGTCCTGTGATGAAGCTGTGCACCTGAAATTTCAATAGTGCTATTAACCAGTGCTACCCCAATAAAAAGGGAGAAGTTAATGGTACTAATTTTGGAACCTCACAGTAAAAGAAAGATGCGATAAATTCATGTTTAGCATAGCACAGTTCCTAATTCTTCTCCAAGAAGAAGAAATGTAAACTGAGGAAATCCTGGGAACTCTTACTAATCTCCAATCTAAAGGGAAGTGACTGAGTCAACTCCATAGAGATTGGAAGAGCAGCAGGGATTGGCTGCCCTGCTCACCACTGTGCTGAGTTAGGGGAAGAAGCTGATGCTCCCAGAAAGGGTGGTGATGTAAGTGAATGAATGTAGTGAGTGGAAAGGATGTTTACTTGGATCTGAGAGGAGACAAAGAAACTAGATCCCCCAGAATTCTGCCCAAAACATCAATTCATACACTGTAGTTTGCTCCCCTTCCTCTACCCCCATGTGAGGTCTACAGAGGAGGGCTTTCATAAATAGCAACACCCAGTTCTCAAAGTTTTGGTTGAGGGAAGACACATGAGCACTGGAAATGAGAAGAAGTAGGCAGTATTTGGGACCAATGTAAAGTCTGGACAAAGTAGACCATACAAGGCACAAGCAAGAAGAGTCTGAAGGAAGAAATACTATGCTACACATACATACATAGAGACAAAAGGAGAGAAAAGGACCCGACATAAGGCAAACGAATCCTGTGGCTGGAGGGGAAAATGATAGGTGTTTCCTATGATATGCAAAAGAATATTGCAGAGCTGGAGAAACAAATCGGAAATTA